CGAAGGGCACGGGTAGGGTAGCATTTGGGTATCAGGTCGGTTAGGTAGTTTGGGGCGGCGTTGTGAATGGCTTTGTAGATCAGAGTTAGCAGTTTGAATTTGATGCGTTGGGCAATCGGGAGCCAGTGAAGGGATTGGCAGAGGGGGGTGGCAGATGTGGAGCGGTTGGTGAGGTGGATGAGTCTCGCCACTGAGTTCAGGATCGACTGGAGTGGGGATAGCATTTGTTTGGGTAGGCCAGTAAGAAGGGAGTTGCAGTAGTCCAGGCGTGAGATGATGAGGGAGTGTACGAGTTGTTTAGTAGTGTCTGGGGTGAGGAATGTACGTATCTTGGAGATGTTGCGGAGGTGGAGCCTGCATGATCTTGATAGTAATTGGACGTGAGGTAGGACACCCAGGACTTTGGCATGTGGGGTGGGAGTTGTTAGTAGTGATGGAGAGGATAGGAGGGGGGTGCGGGGTGGGGGGAAGACCAGGAGCTCGGTTTTGGAAAGGTTTAATTTGAGGAAATGGAGCGACATCCAGTCTGATATGTTGTTCAGGCCGGTGAGTGAGGTGCTGGGTGGGGTGGGGGGGGGGGGGGGGGAGAGAGCAGGGATTTTAAAGTGGAGAAGAGCCGGCGAGGACAGGTGGAGAGGGTGTTGATAAGGGTTACGAAATAGACTTGCTTGGCAGTGTGGAGGGAGGTGGTGTAGGTGAGGAAGGCGGCTTTGTAGAGGGAGAACGCGCGAGGAGATCTGGTTTTGCACCATAAGCGCTCCAGTGCGCGACTGCGTCGTTTGAGACGTTTTGTGTGTGGTCGTTTTGCCAGGGTTGAAGCGGTCGGGGTCGGGGTCTGGTGTTACATGTGGTTGGGGGTGCCAGGGAGTCGAGGGCAGCCGACAGTGAGTCGTTGTACACAGTAGTGGCCAGGTCAGGGCATGACAGAGGGAGGATACTGTCATACAGACGGTCAGCTGCCGGCTGGAGATGGGTCGGGTTCAGATTGCGGAGGTTGCGGGTGATGGTTAGACGCTTTGGGGGGGGAGTTAAGGGAGGGGGAGATGGAGAATGTGAGGAGGTGGTGGTCAGAGAGGGGGAAGGGGGTGTTAGTGAAGTCGCAGGGGGTGCAGAGGTGTTTCCATTGGTGTGGGTGGAGGACTGTGTGTGCTGTGTGAGTGCAAAGGAGGAGGTTAGGAGGAGGAGTTGGGAAGTAGCCGGGCTGTTGGCGTTGATGGGGATGTTGAAGTCCCCTAGGATGATGGTCGGTAGCTCAGAGGAGAGGAAGAAGGGAAGCCAGGCGACAAAGTTGTCTAAGAAGAGGGATGCGGAACCAGGAGGCCGATAGATTACCGCAATCCTCAGGGGGTGGGAGAGAAGAGCCGGATGCATGTCATATATATCTGCTCTGAGTAATGGTTTTGCACAGAGCAGCCCCAATCCTTTTCTTCTCGAGTCACCAGTTCTCCTGGCTCCTCCCTCTTAATCAGTGTCCCCAATAGCAAGCTGCCCACTATGTGGGCATTAATGCTTACTTGTTCCCAAGCCCCACTCTATGCATCCATAAGATACATAGAGCTGCAGCTTGCCCCCCCCCCGTTCTTTTGGGGGGGTTGCTGCTGCACACAGAAGGTTTTTTTTTTTCTTCCTTACTGCCAGGGGCGGACTGACAACTCATGGGGCCCCCGGCAATAGGGGATTATGGGGCCCCTGTGTCCTTGCCCACACTCAAAGCACACCCAAAAAAGCCTATAAAAGGTACCAGAGGCATTTCATAGGGCCCCCTACTGACCCCGGGCCCTCGGGCAATGCCCGAGTGCTCGAATGGTCAGTCCGCCCCTGCTTACTGCATTCCATGCCTTCAGCCTTATAATCACTTTAAAGTAAAGGCTCAAGGCTTTTTGCCTTCATGCAGGAAGGTGAAAAACCCTCTGTGAGCAGCATTACTTACCTGATCCCCATCACGATCCAGTGATGTGCACGACAGCCTTAGCTCCCTGGGGACTTTCCCTCCTCATTGGTGGAGAGAGCAGCAGGAGACATTGGCTCTCACTGCTGTCAATCACAGCTAGTAAGGCAATGAGGAGAGAGAGGGGGTGGGTCCAAGCTGCAGCTCTGTGTGTGAATGGTCACACAGAGCAGCATCTCAGGAGCAGGCCTGTTTAGACACCCCATAGCAAGTTTTTTGCTTTGGGGGCACTTGGCAAGAGTGAGGGGTCAGGAGCGCCAGTGGAGAACCTGAGAAGAGGTAAGCATGATATGTTTTGTTATTTTTTTTAACTTGCTTTTAATATCACTTTAAGGCCTTTTACACATGGAAGCCTTAAAATGCCATTTTGTTTAGCCATTTAGGCATTTTTTACTACTCTAAACGCAGCCCGTTGTTTTTCGTGGGACTGTACACACAGGTGTGTAAACTTGTGTTGCGTATAAAATAAGTAAAAAAGAAAATTACAAACATTGGCATTGACAGTCAGTATTTTTACGTGTGTACTTGTATATACATCACATGCTAACACCTTACTTACGCCACATTCCCTTGATTAAAAAAAGCTAGAAGAATTTTTACGTTTGTGATGTGTAAGCACGAACACACTCAAATATTCTTGTGGGGTTTTTTTTTACTGCCAGGAACATTTGATGTTCTTTCATCAGTACTGTGTGCAAGTACCATAAGAGGGAATGCTAATTCTCAGTTTCTTCACATTTAAATTGGTAATCAGGAATTTAATGTGTGCAACACAGGCAGCATGAGCCCTTGTTGTTCCAGCTTCAAGTGTATGAGAGCATGGTGTACTGATTTCAGTAACTAGTAGATATGGCTTGTATTTACAGTAAACAAGTTTATATTTTGACAGTACAAACTTTTACCACAAGATGGCAGCGATTCTTCATTTTTATTATATGGGCAAAGCCGCCATGAGTAGAATGGAAGCCACATGAGCAGAATGGAAGCCACATGAGTAGAATGGAAGCCACATGAGCAGAATGGAAGCCACATAAGCAGAATGGAAGCCACATGAGTAGAATGGAAGACACATGAGCAGAATGGAAGTCACATGAGCAGAATGGAAGCCACATGAGAAGAATGGAAGCCACATGAGCAGAATGGAAGCCACATGAGCAGAATGGAAGCCACATGAGTAGAATGGAAGCCACATGAGCAGAATGGAAGCCACATGAGCAGAATGGAAGACACATGAGTAGAATGGGACATAACAGGCTCATTTTTTTACACTACAACACGTGATTTCTACTTAGCATGTGATAACACAAGAAATATAATAGGTTGGTAAGGAGCTAACTTTCTGAGCAGTATGTCTTGATTGAAGGCATTCCCTGAAAGTTGCTTCAGAGTTGCTTCAAAGTAGTCCTCAAGTCGCCTGGCACAGTCACACGGTGAGTCGCGTGATTTCAGGTCGCAGTAGTGTCTCACAGCGACTCACTGTGTGACTGTGCCAGGCGACTTGAGTACTACTTTGAAGCAACTCTGAAGCAACTTCAAGGGAATGCCTGGGTAATCTTTCTGTAATGTCAGATTCAAATCACATCAATATAGATGAGGATCCAACTTGGAGGCAACTTCCATTAAAGACTATGGGCACAAGTCGGCTCAAAGTCACCTTGAAGTAGTACAGGAACCTTTTGTAAAGTCGGAGCAACTTCAGCAGTGCTAATTTAGGCTCCGTTCACACCTATGCAGGTTGTTTTTTGTCTGTTTTGCAGTGCCTTTTGCTGTTTGTTTCATGTTTTTCCATACGTGTTTTTGATGCGTTTGTGGTGTATTTTGTTCAGCTTTTTTCTTAAATGGATTTTTTTGCTGGGCAGAATAAAAATGCAAAACACAGCAAAACCCCGCTAACATGCATTTCAGCAGATTCTCCATTGAACTCTATTGTAGTAAAAAAATGCTGCTTTTTGCTTTTAGAAAGTCCCTGACCCTTTCCAAAAATGCAGCAGCTCAAAAAAGCATAGATGTGAACATGTTACATAGGAAACCATGTTAAATTGACTGTAGTGCGTTTCTGCAAAAAGCACTAAAAATGCAACGTAGCCTAAAGGTTATTTTACCCATTATTTGTACCCATTATTACCCATAGATTGCTCACACCAGAAAATTTTGGCTGTATTGAAAACTATTCTTATGGCTGTGTGTACAAAAATAATTCCATAGGAAACCATGTTAAATGGACTGTAGTGCGTTTCTGCAAAAAAGGACTAAAAAAACGCATTGGTGTGAACAAAACCTAAGACAGCTCTCATTGACTAACATGGAATTTCACATGTCATGTGACTTGGGGTCTCACAAGTCGGATCCAAGTCGCGGCAGTGTGAACCGGGCCTAACTGTTAACTCTGAAGTGTTTTCAAGGGGTTGTTTGTACTATATTTGTGGGTGCTAATAATTACAATTTACTTCTCTTTTTTTATATACTAGTAATGGTGGCGATCAGCGACTTATAGTGGGACTGTGGCGGGGATTCTGACACTAACTGACACTGGGTGGGAACTGACTAACTCTGAAGGGCCCTCTGCACACTGGTATATACCCTTTCCAGCAGACTTTGCAATAAAAGATAGGGATATTTAGTTCACACATATTGCAATACATGTTTAAGTCATCCAACTGCGTCAAAGTAATCCCTCTATGGCCAGTCCTACTCTGCTCTGCCTACGCAAATGCTACTGTGGGACACAATGCTAACATAGGGGAAAAGACAAGGTGGGGGCCAGCTTAACCACTTGCCTATCGGGCACTTATACACCCTTCCTGCCCAGGTTAAGTGTCAGCTTTCTGCGCTGTCGCACTTTTAATGACAATTGTGCAGTCATGCAACATTGTACCCATATGACCTTTTTACCATTTTTTTCACACAAATAGAGCTTTCTTTGGTGGTATATAATCGCCACTGGGTTTTTATTTTTTGCACTATAAACAAAAAAAGAGTAAAAAATTAAGAAAAAAAAGTTTTTCTTTGTTTCTATTATATTTTGCAAACAGGTCATTTTTCTCCATCACTGATGTGCATTGATGAGACTGCACTGATGGGCACTGATAGGCAGCACTTATGGGCACTGATGAGGTGGCACGGATAGGCAGCACTGATAGGAGGCACTGATAGGCAACATTGATAGGCAGCACTGATGATGCTGCACTGAAGGGCGACACTGCTGGGCAGCACTGATGGGCACAGGTGGGTGGTACTGATGGACACAGCTGGGTGTTACTGCAGGGCACAAAAAATGTTTTGTTTGTGGAACTAACTGCCACTAACATCTCCCGTGACACTAATACAGTGATCAGTGCTAACACAAAGCACTGACACTGTACTAATGACACTGGGCAGGAAGGGTTTAACATCTAAGGCGCTCAAAGGGTTACCAGTGTGCTGTTTTGTGCTTACTGTGTGCTGGTTTACTCGGGGATGTGCTTCTTTCTCTCTCTCTCTCCCCCCCCCCGTCAGCTTCTCCGCCAATCCCTAATTCCCAGCCATGAATCGCTGGCCAGAACTCGGTGATTGACATCTCCGGGAGCCAATGACAGCCCCCTACCCAGAAATGCAAAGTCATGTATTTATACATGATTTTGCACAGCATGGCTGCCCTGCAGCAGTATATCTGCTGACTTGCGGTTCTTGAAAAAGGTAATTCAGATACCCACCCACCCATTGGATCCAGTATCAGCTCAGACTCAGCATTGCTCAGGTCCCCATGCCCTCATATTGCTCTGTGACATCTTTGGGAGGAGGTTGTTTCTTTCAGGTTCAGGGAGCACCCCTTACCAGGTCCACCACTATGTTTCTTTCTTGAATGGCAGCCAATGCCTCCTGGGATACGTGACGTGCATATCCCAGGAGGTTCCAGGAGCACAGCATGTCGTTTCTGGCCTAGGTGGAGGAAAAAAAGAAAAAAGGAAGAAAAGTGTAATCTTTGAGTTAAGTTCTGAGTTAACTCTTCAAATCTTCATGACAGAATTTAAATCCAACAAATTTTACTTCAGATAAGTGCAGTACAGAGGATGTTTTCTAGTATTTTTGAAATGTAAAGAGACATTCAGGGGAATTTACTAAGATTGGAGAAGATGTATCCTGGAGTAGCTTTACTTGGTAACCAATCATCTTCTAGCTTTCAATTTCAAAGCTTAACCAAACAAGCTAAGGCTAGAAGCTGACATGCACAGCTGCCACTGATTTTGTTTGTTCCCATCACAATAAATTCTCCTAAATGGCTTTCCTAAGCCTGTCTCTGTAAAGAGCTAACATTGACTGGGGGGAACATTGAAGAATATAGGGAGGGTCTAGCTAGAACTGAATTAACGATCACTAAACAGGAGGGGGATACAGAAGGAGATACCAAATCACATATGTAAACAAGTTGTAGTGGCCCTAAACCACCAATAGATGTCAGCATACTTCAGAACAATAATAGCAGACAGCAGAACCCAACATATAGGTAGGAAAGAACAACAGGTAAAGTCTGACATCTCCATATCCTTTCATATTCACTATAGATTTATAGTAGAAGTCACTGCAGTAGAAACACATGTTGATATTATCCATTATGATACAGTACATTGCTGTTACAAGCTCATCCACCAAAGTAGAACTATAGGCAATTTTGTTTTTTTTTTTCATTTTGGATAGAGCAAGGAAGGGTTATAACCCCTGTCATATTTGTTTTGCACCTGTGTCCCCATTAGAAGATTTCCCCTCTATTACTTTTCTGGGAACAAACCAAAATTTGGGATTTTCTTTTACAGTCACTTTCAATGATAATGGTAAACAGCGATAAATAGAGAGCATGAATCTCCATAATGGGGGCACAGGCAGCAATAAACACTGACAGGTCTTCTAATCCATCTCCACTCTCTCCAAAACTACAAAAAAAAAGTTTTTCCTTTAGTTATACTTTATTTATAGATATTTTCCTTTTCTTTCAAGCACACAAAGAAAATAGTTGATTCCAGGCATGACTGTACACACAGGCAACAGTTATGTGTTGTTATCTCTTTTCTCTATTATATATGGAACTTTTTTAGTTTTCGGACAAAGCTGTTCCTTGCTCTTTCCGGCTTTTTATCATTCATTTAAACATAGTTGCATTCTGTTCCTGATTTGTCCCTGGTTTTGTCAGGTTGTCTCAGTAACATGAACACATGAATGGAAAGTGTCTGTGTTGTCAGCAGCAGGCAGTTAGAATGTAACTTTCTTTATTCTTTGGAGATTACTAAAGGTCTCTCTTTGGATGCTACAGACAAATGACTGTTATACTTTATTATTTGGTTTTTTTTTTTTTGTTTTTTTTGGTAATTAGGTCCGTTATTACAATGACTCCTCAATCACAGGATTTCCTGGAGGACTAATAAAAATCAAAGACTTTGCTTGAAGGTAAGGATGAGGCTTACGATAAATTCCGAAGGTGTTATTGTTGTACCTGGTATCCAACCAGTTTTAACTGTCATATTTCAAGAGGAGGTTTTAAACTGAAAGGAACAGTTGTGTTGGGTCAATATCATTTTTGAAATAGAACACATTAGAAATATACAAGTCTGCATCGGAATGGTCAACTCCAGTGTAGGGAAATCACTGTATATGCCAATCATCCTTTAGGCTAAGTTCACACCTATGCAGGCTGCGTTTGAGCCGTTTCTGCATTGTGGTTTGCGTTTTTGCACCTGCATTTTTGATGTGTTTTTGCCGTGTTTATAACGAGTTTTTAAAACTTTTTACATTTTTCTTGTTGCTATGCAGATTTAAAATGCAACACGCTTCAAAAGCGTGGCAAAAAACACAGCAAAAATGCACTGCATGCTTTTCTGCAGCGTTTCCATTGAGGTCTATGAAACCAAAAAGCAATTTTTGCGTTAAAAAGAGTCCTAGCCCTTTCAAAAAACACACTGGATGAAAATGCGCAGATGTGAACATGTCCCATGGGAAATCATGTTAAATGGACTGTACTGTGTTTCTGCAAAATGCTGCAGAAAATGCTTAGGTGTGAACCTAGGGTAAGGCCTGCTTTATTCATTTACTAATGTTTATATGCAGGATCTTACTGGCAAAAAGATCCTGAATAAAAACACAAGTTATATTCCATCAAGACCTTGCATATACATGCATAAAATTCTTCTTCATCCTCTTCTAGTTGCCAGTGTTGCAATTTAAGTATGTATCTCAAAAATACTTGCTTATACGTAAATATTTGCATATGCACGTAAATTACTGTACTCAATTGTACAATTTTCTATTTTTATTTTATAACTATAAACTCATCACTGTACAGTGCATCCAGAAAGTATTCACAGCGCTTAACTTTTGCCACATTTTGTTATGTTACAGCTTTATACCAAAATGGATTAAATTAATTTTTTTCCTCAACATTCTACTAACAATACCCCATAATGATAACGTGAAAGAAATTCGTTTAGAAATCTTTGCAATTAATTAAAAATAAAAAACGAAAAAAACACATGTACATAAGTATTCACAGCCTTTGCCATGACACTCAAAATTGAGCTCCGGTGAATTCTGTTCCCACTGATCATCCTTGAGATGTTTCCACAAACATGATTGGAGTCCATCTGTGGGAAATGCAGTTGATTGGACATGATTAGGAAAGGCATAAACCTGTCTATCTATATAAGGTCCCACAGTTACAGGATTGTATCAAGGCACCGATCTGAGGAAGGGGGTTCAGGAAAATTTCTGCAGCATTGAAGGTCTCAATGAGCACAGTAGCCTCATATATGTCAGTGGCGGTTTTTAAATGTAATTACCGGCTTTTTTTTTTTCTTCACTATAGCTCAGATAATGAGCTGTTACTTTCCCCAAGCTAAGGGCTTGTTCACACTTGACTGTTTTTCCAACTCTTGCCAAATGCCCCTATAGTGTTTGACAAGCATTTTTAACGCTCCGCAAATGCCACATACGCAGTTTAGCGGCAGTTGCTAGGCGTTTGCCAAGCGTTAAAACCGCCCCACAAATGCCTATAATGAAGTTTGAATGGTGTTAACGCTCCGCAAACGCCCCGCAACCGCACTGCAAACGCCGGGCGTTTGCGGAGCGGCACCATAGACTTGAATAGAAGGCTTCAACTCCTCCTGAGTCAACCAGAGACGTCCGTTTTGCCGCAACACTAACTCTCCCGTTTGAACAGCACCATGTGCTGCAATGTGCAGAATTTTCCCAGGCATTTGGGAAACGGTAAAAACACTTCCCAAACACCTGTCTGCCGCTTGCTAACAAGGCTAGTGTGAACGTAGCCTTATAGAAATAATGTTTCTTTTTTTTAGTTTCTTTCTCCGAGCTAAAAGAAAAAGTTTTTTTTTCTCTGAGCTATAGTGAAGAAAAAAAAAACCCCGGCAATTGCACTTAAGAAACTGGCACTGACATATAGGGGTTTATTTATTAAAGTTGGTGCACTCAGAATCTGGTGCAGCTGTGCATGGTAGCCAATCAGCTTCTAACCTCAGCTTTTTCAATTAAGCCGTGGCAAAAAAACCTGGAAGCTGATTGGTTTCTTTGCAGACGTGCACGAGATTCTGAGTGAACCAGCTTTAGTAAATAAACCCCATAGTGACAGCCAGTCACTGTATACACTGCTCCTCTCCTGCCTTTCTCCACCACTCCCCTTCACATCTGCAGTACACACAGTGCCCTGTATCGGCACCTGTATCGGCTAAATTTTTCCTGCTGGCAAAATGCCGATAGCTCTATTTTCGGATGATATGTTTCGGTGGCTGAAATTTCGGTGAATCCCAACTATTGGTCCCCTATCTGATAGCAATAAAATCATAAGTTAAAAAAAAAAATCCACATGAAAGTAGAAAAAAAAAAATTGGAGGCTCCCCACCCCCCACATACGCAGACATTTCGGTTCGATTTTCAGCCACATGCATTCTGAATTTTCGGTATTGGTTTCAGCACCAGAATTTTCATTTTGGTGTACCACTAAATGTCAACCCATCTGGAGTTTGTCAAAAGGCACCTGAGGGACTCTCAGACCGTGTGAAACAAAACTCTCTAGTCTGATGAAACAAAGATTGAACTCTTTGGCCTGAATGCCAAGCGTCAGGTCTGGAGGAATTCAGGCGCCGCTCTCACCACCTG